AATGTTGAAAAAAATAAAAAAAATTGTAGACAAACAAGTTTATATTTACAAGAGCAATGTGATCCTAGGACAAAAATTTTAACATGAACGCAGGGTGATTGATGCAATAGAAGATAGCGTATGGATGGGTCTGATGGACGCGAGATCAATATTTATTTCATTGCATATTTTATTTTAGTCGATAGGGTTTTTAGTAGGATTAACTATTTATGCAAGAGGTAGGTTTTCATTTATGTCGGTTGTTTTTGATTAATAATATTGAGTCTTTGAAATTCTTCCAAGATGACCGATCTCTAGGCATTCGTGCGTGAATCAACGAGTTCGATCACGTGTTAATCTATATTTGTGCGCTACATCAATTGGTATCAAAGCAAGTCTACGCTCCTGATCATGGCTTCTAGACATCTGACTACAGAAGCACAAGTAGAGGAGGGAAAGCATGAGGAGATGGCACACGTGTCAGCAGACGGACTTGCTGGCCCAGCAGTTGGCTGCACTTTTAAAACAGCAACAAAGACAGGTTCGTGTTTGAGACAACAATCACGCTGGTGGTGCCTAACATAAGGAGTGGTCAGTTGTTGATTTCAACGCGCAGTTGAATCCCTTCACTCCTTTCGATCTCGAAAAGTGGGATGAGTTATATGGCAATGACACCTATGATGGACCACCAATCTTTGATAAAGAGATTGAAATCGTTTCCGATTTGGACAATGGTAGTCATGACGGTGCACCTATTTTCGATGAAGGTCTCGACCCCGCAGGCCTGAAGGTTGAGGAGTCGAGCAATCATGGTATGATAGGGGAACCCAATTATGATTACATGAAGGAGCCCACTATGAATAAGGCCATCAAACTTTACTCGGCAAAATTAGATGCTGATTTTGAGAAGGAATTCAGCAACGTCTTTGAAACATTCAATTTTGAGGAAAGTGATGGCAGTGAGGAGAACGATAAAAATTTTGAGACTGCACTTCATGACAAAAATAAGAAAGTTGAGTATACAACTTAGAAAGATTATAACATTAGCAAATGTATGTAAATGGGAAGATTCGTTAATTGAAAAATAAAGATTTGTTTGAGCAAAATTCTATATAATTCTGCTTTGATATTCATATATATGCTATAAATGATAGTTTCTACTGAAAAATGTATAAAATCAGAAAAATAGTTGCAGAGAAAATCATCTTAACTAATATGGTACTTTGACAGAAAAACATTCATATCTAACGGAGGTTACAAGTCAAATAATCATGGTTTTGAGCGAAAATGTTTAGAAAATCCAAACCAACTTTTGAGAACAAATATAATTTGACTGCTAATTTGGTGATACGATATTCAATTATTTCGAGAGAAAAAAAATCTAAAAAGTCCACTTCCTACGTCATTCCAGTTCTAATGAAGGAATTCTAGAGTTTAAAACGAAACATATCAAGATAATCTTATACTATATTAAAGGAGGATAGTTCCGCAACAGCGTTCCCGCCCAAGAATCCCGCCTCAACCATTATTATTATTATTATTATTATTATTATTATTATTATTATATAAGTGGTCCCCTGCAAAAAAATCCTGCCCAAGAATCCCGCCTAAACCATTCTTCGAATTTATTATTGCAAATTGTTTAGGCGGGATTCATTCATAGCTTAAAAAAGGAAAAAAATAATAATAATAATTTCGCGACGAACGTTCAACATGGATCTGGCTCCCAATATGCTGCAACAGTGTTCCCTCTTTCTTTTTTTTTTTTTTTTTTTTTTTTGAAAATTTAAAATTCAAATTATGCATTTATTGGTTGTCTCCCAAAACTGACACAGTAAAATTCCTTACCAAACTTTGTGGCGCAATGTTATCTCATTTTCGAAACCTCTCATTTTTTCTTTTCGTCTATGTATAGAGCTTTTTTTGTGTCTTATTTTTTACAAAATTTTGACTTAGTTTGCAATATCTGTGCTTTTTGCCCAATTTTGTAGTTGTGTTTTGTGCAAGGAATGGATTCATTGGTGTCACTCGAGGTATGGATATCTACATTATATTCTCTGTAAGTTCAAGATAAAAATATATTCATGCTCTCAATCTTCTCAAACTTTGCAAATAATTTGATGCTTCTCATTATATTAAATAATAAGACTGACAGTGATAAATTTCATCTTTGCTTTTTTGGTGTAACAGAAATTGTTTTTCAAAAATCAAGAGATGAATGTTGAATTTGCATCCAATTCTGCAAAGGTAATCTATTATAATACCATTGAAATTCTTAATTTGTTATTATATCACTCTTTAAAAAAAAAAAAA